CAGCGTAGCCAGATTGTATTATTGCAGAACAAATGTAGAGAATACAATCGAACATTATAACATTAAAAAGTGATATAGTGTCAAGTGTTTTACAACGCCTTAAATCAGACAAAAGAAGCGCTTGAAAAGTGTATGTTAACATCGTTTGCACTTTTATTTTGATAAATGTTTCATCCGGCAACATCGCACAATGAAATTGCAAAGGAATATGTCAAGTATAATCTAACTTAACCTTAAACGAAACTGCGGTGAGTTCATGTAATATATAAAGTATTAGTTTGCTCTTTGTCGAATTACACGTTACAAAGAAAGAAGGAACGATTCATTCTGAACTGGCCCCTGAATAAGAATATGACGTAAGCCTGTAACAAACCTGTTTTTCATTGGACGCTCATCTGCAGCCTACAAGCGACGCGCGCAGTCCAGGTAATAGGAGATCCGTCTATTACCCAATTTATTAATTAACAAACTTCGGCCGCACTTTTCTAATTTGACGTCATAGGAAAAAGCTACGCCTTTAATTGTGACGTCACGAGGTATGAACCGAGACGGCTGGCCTTAGCCGCCATACGTTTTATTATTATATTATATATACTCCTGGACAAAATTATCGCACCACTGCTTATGGTGCTTACGTGCAGTGGTGGTGCGATAATTTTGTCCAGGAGTATATTTAAATTAAATTTTTAATCCAACACAACTTTACAAATCTCAATATGTACTTACATCAAAATGGTCTTCACATAGGTAAACATGACTTTGTAATGAGATATCTTTAGGCTGCCATCTCATGGCTTCTAGCCATATTTTTCATTGTTTTTCTTCCATAGGTAGCTTTATAAAAGTTTTTCCAGGAGTGGAAATTGTTGTACTTTTACATCCTGGCACAATACAATACCGATAAACCATTGCAACTCAAAAATAATTTAAAACTTCGTCAAAAAATGTAAGGTTCATAAGAATCATGAGAACGTTAAAACAAAATAATACCTCGTGACGTCACTGACAACTGAAATATCAAGGCTACGTTTTTAGCGGGAAATTAGCCAGTTTGAATTTTAATTATTTATTAGGACCTTAATATTCCACGTATTTTGAAAATATTTTGGAGGGATAATATTTGAGTCTAATTAATCATTTTCATACAATAAAAAAAATATCTGCAAGGACCCTATTGTGTTTTACTCCAGCGTCCCCAAGCGGATGCGATCCGAAGCTTTTTTTTTAGGCCCCGCCCTCCATTAAGCTTTTTTTTCTATCCGTGAGGATATGTGTTCTGTGGCAGATAATTGCGCAATAGTTGCTGTCAAGTCGCTGCCAAATGCGAGTTTTCCATTAAAAAAAAGCAACTTGCGACCGGTTGCTGGTTGCTATGTAATTGCTGTTCGTAGAGAATAAGCCTGCGGATGAACGAACATATTTTTGATTTTTCTCCGGCTGCCTGAACAGTCATAACTGACAGATCGTCCGGAATATATACACGCTCAGGCGACCGGCCTTCAGTCGGACTGTTCAGTTCGAACTGACAGGCCTGCCGGACCGTGTGTAGCCGGCTTAAAACACTCTAGTGAAATAGTCCCTTAAAAATTCAGCTTGTGACAAAAAAGTGGGAGGTAAATGGATTTTTATAGTGAATATTTTAATCCATCCACTCTATTAAAAGGAATTCTTCAATAATTTAGATACAAGGATGTAAATGATTTTTTTATTCATGAACTGTATTAATTTGCAATTTGGAGAGGAGTTGGAGAAAGGTTTGAGGCATGTTGTAAAGTCTGTTTTTTTTTTAAAGATAATCCCCTAAGTCAAAAATTTAGTAACTATGTTGGCAACACGAGCCTTTTCTACATAAAAAATTTGAAAGAATTGACAATTTTACATTGTATTGCCAACATAATGTCATTTTGACTTTTATCTTTAAAAAAAAAACACATTTTACTAAATTTTCAAGTAGCTTGAGTGAAAACTTCAAAAAATACACCCTGAAATAGTTTGATTATTAAGGGAATTCTTCAATAATTTAGACACAGGGATGTGAATGATTTTTTTACTCATGAACTGTTTCAAATATTAATTTGCAATTTGGAGAGGAGTGAGAGGAAGGTTTCAAGCATATTTTAGTAAATTTTCAAGTTGCTTGAGTGAAAACTTGAAAAAATACACCCTGAAATAATTTGATTATTAAGGAAATTTTTTGATAATTTAGACACAAGGATGTAAATGATTTTTTTTACTCATGAATTGTTTCAAGTAATAATTTGCAATTTACACCCTGAAATAGTTTTATTAAGGGAATTTTCCAAAAATCTATACACACTGGATGTAAATGATTTTTTTAGTTATGAACTGGTTCAAGCATCAATTTGCAATTTGCAGAGGAGTGGAAGGAAGGTATGAAGTATGTTTTATTATATTTTCAAGTTGGTTGAGTAAAAACTTAAAAATACAACCTGAAATAGTTTGATTATTAGGGGAATTTTTCAATAGTTTGGACACAAGGATGTAAATTATTTTTTTACTTATGAACTATTCCAAGTATTAATTTGCATGTTGGAGAGGAGTGGAAGCAAGGTTTGAAGCATGTTTAAGTAAATTTTCAAGTTTTTTCAGTGAAAATTTTGAAAAATACTCCCTGAAACAGTTTGATTATTGAGGGAATTTTTCAAAAATCTATACACAAGGATGTACATGATTTTTTCAATCGTGATCCGTTTGAAGTAATAATTTGCAATTAGGAGAGGAGTGAAAGGAAGGTTTTGAGGCATGCTTCAATAAATTTTCAAGTTGCTTGAGTGAAAACTTTAAAAAATACACCCTAAAATAGTTTGATTATTGAGGGAATTTTTCAATAATTTAGACACAAGGACGTAAATGATTTTTTCATACATGAACTGTTTCAAGTTTTGATTTGCAATTTGGTGAGGAGTAGAAGGCAGGTTTGAAGCATGTTTTATTAAATTTTCAAGTTGCTTGAGTGAAAATTTTAAAAAATACACCCTAAAATAGTTTGATTATTAAGGAAATTCTTCCATAATTTAGACACAAGGATGTAATAGTATATTACATTAAGAGTGTAGAAAGTGACAAATTTCACACGAGTGTTTTTTCGCGCGAGGCGGTAGCCGAGTGCGAAAGTCACACGAGTGTATGAAAGACGCTTTCTCACAAGTGATGTACACCATTTTTCCTACGACCAGAATCCGATTTACACCACTTTTCTCTTATTTTATTTCTCTTCATTTTCAACATACGTGTTGAAAGTACTTTCAATCCACGTATTGAAAGTAAATTGGGATGTCAATCACAAGTAATGTCAACAGTATTTTCCACACGCGTGCGGAAATTACTTTTAGCAAGCGTATTGAAAGTACTTTCAGCATGTGTGTGATATTTGGCGCTTTCCAAAGAACCAGCTAGTGCGGATTTTGTCATTTTCGTATGTGGTCGTAGGAAAATGATTTTTTTACTCATGAACTGTTTCAAGTATTAATTTGCAATTTGGAGAGATGTGGAAGGAAGGTTTGAAGCATGTTTTAGTAAATTTTCAAGTTGCTTGAGTGAAAACTTCAAAAAAGACACCCTGAAATATTTTGATGAAGAAGTGAATTTTTCGAAAATTTAGATACGAAATCCGGATTTATACGCGCAGCTACATTTCAAATCCTTGCACTAGTTCGCACATAAAAAATACAAAATTTATGGTTTCAAAGTCATAAAGCAAATAGCCTGTTTGCCCCACATTGATAAATGTAATTCATTTGGGTGTCAAAGCAAATTATTTACGCAAAATCAGACATAACATTTACACAATTTTATAGCCTAACAGCAGCAGATTATCCTTATCTTTGTCGTAATTTTAGGACAATAAAAAGTTATTAAGATTTACTTGATAATGACTCAATGAGGCAAGATTAGGTAAGATCGAGTAGCACAATAATCTACGACAAAGTAAGATTAATTTGAAATCTTTAAGTATTGTTTTTTATTGTAAAATATACTTAGAACAAGCGCTCAAAGGGTGGAAAAACAAATGCAGACACATGGGAATACCGCTCAATGAATACAATCTTTATACTTTAAGCTTTGCAGATGATCAAGTATTAATTGCAAAGGACTATGATGACCTAGAGTACGACACGAAAATTGATAGAGGAATACGAGAAATGGGGTTTGGAAGTAAATTTAACGAAAACAGAATATATGACTATAGGAGGTGAACAACGAAATCTGAAATTGAATAACGGACAAGAAATAAAACAATGTTCTGAATACAAATATTTGGGCATGAAAATCTCACACGAGGGAACCCTAGACGAAGCAATTAAAGATAGAAATATACAAGGACGCAAGGCAATATCCCTACTAAATGGTGTACTGTGGGATCAAAATATCAACAAAACTAATAAAACGAGAATATACAACACCATAGTCAAAAGCATAGTCACGTATAGTTCAGAAGTCTGGCCACTAAAGATCAGAACCGCAAAAATGCTGGAAGCAACTGAAATGGACTTTTGGAGGAGATCGGCAGGCAGGTCAAAAATGGAGAGGACAACAAATCTGAGAATTAGGGAGATTATGGACGTAAAACACACAATAATAGATGATATAAAGGACAAACAGCTGATTTGGTTCGGACATGTACAAAGAATGGCAGATACAAGAATACCCAAGCAAATAATCGAGTGGAAGCCAGGGGGAAGAAGAAGACGCGGCAGACCAAGAAGAAGCTGGAGAAGTGGTGTAGACGAGGAAATGAAGGACAGAGGCCTAGAAGAGGATGCCTGGATTGACAGAGATGGTTGGAGATCGGGAATCGGAAGACGTAGAACGTTATAAACCGATAATTATATATATATAAGTATTGTTTTTAAAAAAAAGGAAATCTTTAAATTGGAGTCAAAAAATTCTAAGGAACTTTACATAACAATCAATAGAAAATGATGATATGATAATTTTTGACTCAAAAATACCATTCCTTTATTGTTATTTTGTTCCAGATTGTTTGGTTGTCTCCAGACGCCGTTCCTAGAAATGCGCAACATGATCAAACCTCCAAGGTCTCCTATACACTGTGGCGAAGGCGAAAGTCTATCCGAATGGTTTTGTAGGATTGAAGAGTCTCCATCGGCTTCAGCGTACGTCGAAAGCGAATGCTCCTCCCTGAGTGTCCCTTTTGCAGAAATGTCCATTTCTTATATGGACGACGTTTCGGAAACTTCTTCCAGTTTTACAAGGGATAAGGATCAGGATGATCAAGATGGGTACTGTCATGAAAATAGAAATAGTTTTAGAGGTAAGTACTTTAACTTGAATGAATCAAAAATTACGCTCCTTTATCTTCTTCCTCATCAAGCATGGTTGAAGTTGCATTTGAATTATTTTTTTTTTAACTTCCATCATCTTTCTCATTAAAATTTGTTGGAAGTTGTTCAAGAATCTGTTTTTTTTTTCCTCTATTTCCTTCAAATTTTTACTTGTTTCACATGGTCACATATAAACTCAGTTCTGTTTTCCTTAGGTTTTGGAAGTGATTCAGGTTTCTCATCGGACCTGTGTGGCGATTACAAAAGTAACGCGACCACCCCGAAAGAAAAGTTTAGTCCTAAAGCTACCTTGGACGAGCAAGACTGTGCCAAACTGACTCGCACCAAGTGGACCGCCTCCTTTCGGAAGATTATACGTAGAATTAAGAAGTAACTTAGTCCTAGAAAAGGTGAAGTTTTTCCATATTTATTACGTGGATAGAGGGAATTGATTTTTCTCAAATAGGTTTTCAAACTGATATTATTAGTCCTAGTTGTGTAGTTTTTAGGTAAGAGAATTTTGTCCCAAAATTTAGCAGTAGGATCAATTGAAATTTGTTGAATTTAGAAATAATAGCAAAATCGTTGAATTGTCCATTGTAGTATATGAGATAGTCATTTTATACCAAAATTTCTTTGGATAATTTACAATTTTAGGTGAAAATCTTGCCCTTGGTGGTATAATTGATATAGAAGGCAAATGCTCAAGTACTTAATAATTTGAGCATGCCTTCTTATATTAAATAGATTACTAATAATTATTAACACAGTATTTATTATTTATGTATTTTTATTTTTTTAGCAGTATTTTTTTGGATTGCTCTGTTTACAAGCAATTTAAGCATCTTAAGTTTAATTATGTACTTAATTTTTAAGCAGCTATATTTATAGTCGTTACTTATTTTTCTTAATAAGTAATTAGGGTCAGTATCTTTATCACTTTATTAAATTATGGACAAAGGTGAAAATTAATTGTAACAGTCAATTATTTCTTGATATTAACACAGTGTGGAAACAAAAATCCTAATATTTGATTTTAATTTCCACACTAAAAATTAACTATAATTTAATAGACGATAAATATACTTTGTCCTTACCTGGATAATAATTAATTTAACCACCCAAGTGCTTTTTCAAACAGGAAAAAAACAGTATAACCTCATAAGTCTCAATCTTATTGATTTGGTTTTACAGGATTTTCTATGCTTTTCTATTTATTATTAAGTTATTTGACTTTTCTAGCCTCCTTACATTCCATGTTTGTATTTGACTTTGATATTTAAGTAAATTTTTTCCAAATATATTAATAAAGAGTGTTTCCCGTTTTATAGTTTGTTTGTTTTTTGTATGTAAGACTGTTATGAATAAATCAGGGTTTTCAAAAACCTGGGTTTTACTATTGGGTTTTTAAGGCTACGGCCAAGCTTGCGACCCTGGTCGCATTGATGTGTTGCATTGATTGATATGTAGCTGGCCATGTTTGCGACCAGCGACAGCGACTGATTCTGAAAACGCTGTCACGAGCGTTTTCGAGACGCCGCGACAAAAACGCTCGCCATAGTTTGTTATGTGAGTGGTCATAGTAGCGTTCAAAGCGTAAAAACCTGGCGTTTGATATTTTCACAAACACCAAAATCGTAAGGCGATTGCGCCCCAGATTTCCATCTGCTGTTTGGTAGGCGAATGGTTAACCAATTGGTACGTATAATGGCCGTTTCCACCAACGCAAATTTAAGTTTACTTAACGTTAAGTGCCGCTTACATTATAATTTTTTTTCTACCAGTCTAATGGCCATTTGCACCGCTATCACTTAAGGGATATTCAATTTAAGTGGAGCTTTTGAATATGACTTTTGTTTCTACGAGAGTCACATTCAAAGGCCTACTTGGATTAAGTATCCCTTAAGTTATAGTGGTGCAAATGGCCGTAACCAGTCTCATTGAGATAAGCTTAACTAAGCCCAGAAATTTCTAGGCTTATTCTTCCCTTACGGCCATTTGCACCGCTATAACTTAAGGGATATTAAATCCAAGTGGAGCTTTGAATGTGACTCTCGTAGAAACAAAAGTCACATTCAAAAGCTCCACTTAAATCAAATATCCCCTAATATCCCTTAAGTGCTAGCGGTGCAAATGACCATTAGTGACGTAGCTCAACAATCTCATCCGAATTCAGTGGGTAGGGCGTTTGGTACATTTTGACTTGACATGTTTATTGAGACATGAAACAGAAATGGAGGAATTGTTAATTGAAAAAGTACGGCACATGAGTCATTATTTTTCGCCTAATGATTCCCGTTCCGGTAATCTCATGTACCCATAATGTCCTATGACTTGCTTTATTTTCTAATATTTGTAAACATACGCCTCTTCGCCCTTTTCTAGTTCTTCTTCCCAATCGGAAGAATCGGTACTGCTTACACATTGCATTTTTTAAGACTATAGCCGAATATTATTTCTGGAATTAAAATAAAATTGGCAGAAAAAACCTAGTCAGTGTCGGGTACAAGGTATGAAGCGTGTTGTGTAAGCAAAGAGTGTGTTTCTAAGCTCAAATTTCACGGTACGCGCCAGCTCGTAACGTGACGTACCGTGTCGAAGGTGTGTTCCCGGCTTTATGTTAATAGGGATATCAAGGGAAAATTAGGGATTGGAGTGAGCAGTACTGTGGTGCAAAACTGGGTTGAGCTCAATAATGCTGATAAAAATAAAGAAGGTAAGCAAAAATGTATTCAAATATTTTATTTTCAAACTGTTCCATTTTGAGATTCTAATAATTATTCTAATCTAAATAAATACACACTATACCCCATACAGTGTCTTGTCAGATTTTGTTCACTGCATATCGGTTATTTGGCCAAACTGTTACAATTCAATATCATACTGCCAAGGTACGCTTCCTGCGCAGGGGTAATGAAGAACTCAGCGAAAGAGTCTCTGACTTGTTTAGCGCTTCTACCTGCATTAGTTGTGCCTATAATTGGTAATATGTCTAGCATCTCGCAACTCAGTGTATCTTCAAATTTGAAACCATCTCTCAACCTAACAAAATTGTGTAAAAGGCAGGCAGCTAAAACTATAACAGTTGTAAAATCGGGATCGAGGTGTATGGAAGTATGAAATATTCGCCACTTGTTCGCTAAAATGCCAAAAGCGAACTCGATAAATCTTCTTGCCCTCTGGACAAACGATAATTGAAAATGCCTTTTTTGTTATCCAGCCAGGTCTTTTCTTGCATATATGGTCTCATCACATTTTCACTCATAGCGAAAGCCTCAGCATTGGTGTATTTGCATTGAAGTTACGTAGTGGTTTTTTATCTGGAATATTTAAAGGGGGTGTGCGCCAAAAATGAAAGTTTTAGTTTAAAAAAATTTAAGAATAACTGTTCAAACCTCGTTATTCTACGATAAACCATCGCTGAGATATAGCTCTTTAAATTGTGGACGACGCTCTCGTGACGTCACGAGAACTTGTCATGTTCATCAAAAATAAATCTTGTCACTATAGAGTACTTACATTTTGTCCATAAAACACACGTAAAATTACTTAATTAATTACTCAAAATATTTAGCTAGCACGCACATAAATTATTGAACGAATTTCAAATGTTATTACTTTATTTCAAAACTTTCCGCTACTTTTCTAAGTCAAATTATACCCGAGGCCATACGCCATAAAAGAATCTTTTCGCGAAAACGGACAGACTGGACTGCTTATAATGGGTAACTTCAACGGATAACTGGCAACTGTCCTCTCCTTCTAAAAAACGCGCTATTTATATAATTCGATGCTCCCAATCTCTCTTTGTCCATGACAATCAAGATGATGCAATTTCCTTGGAATTTTTATATAATTTTTAGCCTGAAATCAATTAATTATGTCGCAATAATCTGATTTATTGAGGTCAAAACGTTTTTGGTTCAAGAATGCCATATATCATCAAATTAATTAACAATTAGTGATGTCACTGTCCTCGTTTTTATCATTTTTAAGAATTTAATTTAGATGATGAATTGGCCGGTGTTGCAATACTTAGCGTTAATTTGTTTTATTTTTAATTTATCGATACAGATTTAAAAATACCGGAATTAAATTTTGATTATTTGATAAAATTTAATTTTTACAGTAAAGACTTTGTAATTATCGGGTCAAATTTCTGGATCATCACAATAAACATGAAAATATTACAGAATTTGTGGTAGATATGTATAACAATTGGTTTTATATACAAACAGTTTTAACATTCTATATTGACATTTTATTTCTAGCACCTAGATGTGTTACCATCTGTATTTGCAAAAGCAACTCAAAATTAAGAATCATCTTAAGATTAATATTATTATTTCTCTCTACACTTAAAATAATTATTTCCGATGAACAGATAACAATAAATATAAATCTAAACCTTAAAAACTACATTTAGAACTCAATCATGCTAACCAAAGTAAACATCAAAACAAGCACTCAAACTCAGACCATTTGGTGGAAACAAATTTTCTACACTCATGTCTATGTACTTTTTTGCTGGAAATCCTTCTAATTTCAATAGGCATTGTGTTGCATATCTTAGGAGAGATTGCCACAACATCTCAAATTTAAACTCCTATTACTATTAGGAATTATAAGGTGTTTGTTAGTCTTATTTCTTGTACCATATTGGTGCTCTACATACTTTCTTAAGTTGGGTTTTCCATGAATATAAGAACTTAAGTCGAAGACATACAGAGAACGAACATTTAGGATATCTTTTGAGTATAACAATTGGGTGGAAAATCGTTTCTTCTTTTTAAACATTATTTTTAGTACTTATGTAATTTTGAACCACATTCAAAGGTCTCAAGAAGCTATCTGATACAATAAGCCACCCCTCTAATATATCAAGGATTCCACCAGAGCCTTATAAACACTGATAAGCAGCCTCAAACTCAGTATATTTATTAGAATATAAAATGTATGTATCAATTTTCGAATGTTGCTAGTTAGTCGACTAGATACATGTTGGTCCCATTTAAGGTTCATATCAATAATGATACCCAAATACTTAATACTAGTCACCTCACAGATATAATCATTCATGTTATCTATTTTAATTCTATCAAAGTTGGGACGGTTTGCCAATGTAAGCGAAAATGCAATATATTTAGTTTCATTGCTATTTAAAGTTAACTTAAAGGTGTCTAACCAATTTGCTATCGTATTTATTCCCAATTTTGACAGTTTCTGTTAATGGTTCACTTGTAGGACCGTCCAACTGCGGACAAAAAACCAAAATGGTTCAGGATTGAAAGATAAGATGTAGCAGTTTAATTTTCTTCAATTATATTATTGTTGATGTCCCCTAAGAAAACTTCAACATTCTTATTTATGGTCTCTGATAAGTATTTTTCAAGATCTGAAAGAAAATAATGCACGTTTGAAGCGCAAGGTCTGTATAAACATGTTACTCCATACTCAAGGTTTTTATGTTAGAGTAATTCTACTTACAGTTACTTGAGATTGTACAAGTCTAACAATCTGAAAGTTGACGCTGATACCATGCCTCACAAATACTATAACCCCATGGCACGGTTCTCAAAATATGCTATTTTTATCCAGTCTTCTGCGGTTGGCTCTGGCATAAATTTATCCTTTAAAGAAGTCCATATCTCTCGACATGTTTCCTAAACTATGGTAGAAATTGTACTTCTTCCCAGTTGAAATTCGAATGATGATCTAAAAAAAAAAAAATGTATTTTCAGTTGCAAGGAACATGTAAATGAAATAAATTATTCATTCAAAAAATTCAGAAAATCATTATCCAACAAGAAGTTCTCCGGCACATTAACTTAGGAAGACCTTATGAGAAAGATAATGATGAATTATTTCTGTTATCCCTTTTGCCAATGTTCAAGAAGCTGGATGATCGTAGAAAACTACGGGCCCGCATGAAATTCATGGAAACAATGCAACAAGCAATCACTTTTGGAATACCTATGCATGCCATCGCCAACAATATCTAATAAGAGTATACTAGTTATATTCCTGCACATCCCACATTCGATAATACTACTCCTGCTCACCATCCATCGAGCAATAATCCTACACATCTCCATCTTTTTTCATAATATTCCTACCTATCACCCATTGACTAATAATATATTCTGGCTCATTCCCCAATGACTAATAACATTTCTGCGTCATATCCCGAAAAAAATAATTGTAATGCTACCCAATCCAATCATTAACTTCACCTTTTCCGAGCCGATCATCTTCTGCAGTTGAACCACCAGCAGATATTACTGGACATAGCAAATATTTGGAAAATTTAAGGGAAGTTGTGATATGTAAAAGAAACGAAAAATTTGTGAAACGTCTACTTTATTATTAAAGTAAATCGTACCGTTCTCATCCTGGAACTAACGAGGGGAAAGAACACGCCAAAGAAACCCTCAATCTACATTCCTCAAAAATCTAAACATACTGTCTCATTTTAATAGTAATTGTGAGTCATTAATTCAATAATTTAAGTCAATAAAAGTTTAAATTAGGTACCGCCCCTGTTCTTGTGCTAAAATTTCAATTACACACTACATTCAATCAACACTACCTATAATCAATACTGAAGAGTTTTTGGTTAGTCAGTTTCCCAGCAGGTACTGAGGTCCCATACGGGAAGCTATAGTTGTTTTTGAGCCAATATCTCTGGATTGATTATTTCAATTTGTTAGGATTTTCTCTCGTCAGGGTAGGAAAATGTTAGTAAATTCAACAAGGCCCTAAATGTACGCTCTGAATACACAAAATCAAAAAGACAGCACATAATTTCTTCTAGGTTTTAATTTACTCTTTATCTGTGTTGTTTTACAGCATGAAACGATTTTTGTTAAATACATGAACAATGCACATGTTATAAAAAATTGTTATAAACAAACAAAAAAAACATAAAAATGGAAAAATGATACTTGTAAAAATAATTGAACTTTCAAAAACAAAATAACAATTATTCAACTGACCTGTAATGGCTCCCTTGACACATACACTAATAACAAATTGGATTGGACAAACAATTTAATGCAAAATAAAATGAAAATTGAATAATGAATAATTACCAACACGCGTCTGAAGAGACCCGTTCAGCTTCTTCCCTAGTCTAGTTGCATCTTCTCTATCTCCCCTTCGTAGTACGGTTCCTTGTGGCTCGAACGCGGCGCATACATGGTTGCAACATTTACCTACTTTCATTCAGTAAACTTTTTTTTTTTAAGTTAAGATTTGAAGAAATAATATTTTAAATAGGGGGTTTTCCTCAATATATGACTGATTTTTTGTTATATACTTCGTTTAAAATGTGTAAACTTAGCAATAAAAATGTAAAATAAATAAATTCACTTACCTTAAAGTTACTGCAAGCCTCTCTTCAACTGAAATGGCGGTATTAAATCTTGTTGTTTGCCTCTGTAAACCTTCTTTAACAAAGGAAGAAAGTTCGTCAAATGAAGACACACTAATTCTCAAGTATGAAAAAAACCTTTCTTCATGGTTTCTGAGAATACCAAGCAATGTGTAAAACTGTTGTTTGTGTGTTGACAAAACTCCACGAAACTTTATATTTGTTTCAACTTTTAAGTTTTGCACTTGAGAAGCTTCAAAATTGAATTTATCCAACATTGAAAATTTTCCAAAAATGACACTGAATCAGTTTTTGCCTCACAGCTCCATTAATTTTTATTTGATTTCAATGCTTCAATATTTTAATTTGGTTTCAACAGTTTTACACCTGAAAAGTTTCAAAATTGAAATTATCGAACATTGAAAATTTTCCAAAAATGACACGAAACGGTTTTTGCCTCACAGCTCTGTAATCTTCATTTGATTTCAATGTAATTGAGCTTTAATCAAAGTCAATTATTGAATTCTCTACAATCCTGTTAATTAAGCTTTTAATTTAGTTTTATCAGTAAAGTCCGCCGATTTTAACATGATACTCCAAAGAAATGTGAGCCTGGTGTTAATCTTAATTTGATTTCAATTTACCTAACCCTAAATTAAAGCTAATTAAATTTTCCACAAGCCTGTTAATTGAGATTTTGATCCAGTTTAATCAGTTCTGCAGCTGAAAAGCTTCAAAATCGAAATTATCGAACAATGAAAATTTTCCAAAAATGACTAGTTTTTGCCTCACAGCTTTGTTAATTTTCATCCGATTTGAATGATTGAACTCTTATTAGACTCAATTAAATTCTCTACCAACCTATAAATTGAAATTTCAATTTGGTTTCAAACACCTGATGAGAAGCTTCAAAATTGGAATTATCCAACATTGGAAATTTTTGAAAAATGGATTTTTGTCAATATTGATGGTGGGTTTTTTAGTCAAAAACCCATCGAGTTTTTTCAATGGGTTTTTATGTATGCCAACCCTGGAATAAATAAAACACAAAAAAGTTTCTATAAATAAATTTAATTAAGGTCTCTATCTTCTAGGTACTTATATTCAAATGTGAAGCCTTCCTTTTTCCTCTGCCCCCATTTCTCATAATCGAAATAGATATACGTTCCCTGTTCGTATTCTTCGTTAATAATCTTGGGCTCCTCGTGCCTTTGAAACCACATCATGTACTTCGTGTGAAACCGCCAGCTTTGCTTTTTTAAAGCTTTCGCTGCCAAATACTGAGCCTTCGTGCCCTCCATGTAGTAAAACACAAAAAATAAAGTTTCAGTGCCTAACCTCTGATAAAATTCAGGAGTATCTGAATTGAACAGAGGGATTTGTATGTAATACGAAGGTGTATTAAAGGGATTCCTAGGCAAATAAGTCCGTATCCTTTCGGTATCGGAAGGATGAGGCATGTGATAGTAAGCGGGCTCCATCAGTTGGAACTGTTGCTGGTGTTCTTTTTGGAGAGGTACAGCTCCTAAGGGTGCAACACCCAAAAGTGGAGGTATGTGAGCTTCTGTTTTCGCCTGACTTTGACTTCGAGGCGGATCCAGAATCACTTGGGGTTGGACTTGTTGTTGCGTTTCGAGTGCTGCCCTGTCTATTGCTTGTTGGGCCATCGTTTTCAGGGTTGACAACCCTTCTGAGATCTGAAAACATCTCGTCAAAATATGCAAATGAGTGCATAGAAAAATTCATTACCTTTTCATCAACAGTACCATTCTCAACACTTAATTGTACAAGATCGTTTGTCACCTGTAAAGGTGGCGTCGTCCTTATGATACTATTATCCAACTCCGGACTGTCCATGAGGACGTTATTGGGCAAAACGTCGATGTGAACTTTGGCCACCGCCGCAGCAATCAAATTGTTAGACAAATTATTGGACAAGGGTTGCTGCGGCGTCACATTAATCGTATTATTCTCGATATTATTCGTCGTGGGTTTGTTCAAATTGTTGGCGGCAACCGCGGCGAAATTGCTAACTGTCGTCATGTTGGGCATCACAGGTGAAGTTTCCCGAATCGAAAGGGTCGGAGGTTTGGTTGGCGTCGACGTTAAAACTGTCGATTTGCCTATTATTAGAAAAATTTCGCCCAATACAAATTTGAATGTTTGGTAGCTGCAAAATTGACACAAAACAGTTTTTAAATGGAGGAGCAATATTTTTGCGTTAACTTTGCAGTACATAATGGGTTGATTAATGGGCTAGTAAGGTTTTCTAGACAAAATTACAAGCCCATTAACAAAATACCCTTACCAGATGGCGTTGACGTTACACTAGCAATACTATAATTCAAAATCGAATTCGTACTACTATTCAGGGACGTCGCTACGGATGCTCTTATTGGTATGGGTTTAATTGGCTGCAAAATAAACATTAAATTAACTTAAAAACCTCAAACACATTCCATTATTACCTTGGGTGGTGGTGGTGGTTGGACCTCCTTCTGTACAATCTTCTTCTCTTCAGACAGGACGGGCTCGATGCTGGAATGATTGAAACCAATGGAATTTTGACAGTTGATGGGTGGCGGCGACGGTACGGGCGACGATCCCGATATCATGGACGTCGGGGTTCCTCCTGTATCATTACTGTCAGTTGTAGCTAAATTTTTTCAAATGAACAAGTTCAAACAAAAGAAAAATGGGAGGGGTCTGTTGGCCATGCCACATGGGGAATAAAATAATAAAAAAACTAGTAAATTGAAAAATTACCTGAGGAAGGTAAACCAACTCCAGATAGTTCAACTTCATCCAAACCTACAATATCATCATAGATGAACTCGTTATCTTCAAAGTCGGGATCTTTCCATGATTCTATGTAATAATCTACATTCTCTTTTATTGGTTTGATCTACAAGAGCAAAGTAGAAACTAAAACTGAAATTTGATTAGGTGACAGTCAAACCTGTTTCGCTTCCACTGATTCATTTACTAGCATGCGCAGTAACGCCTCCAACTTTTGTATGTGAAACCTATGTCTTTCTAATCGGGTTTTCAACTCGTCCATCCTCTCCTGCTTGTCTTTATCTAGCTTCTTTTTACCTTTAGATTGTAATTGTTCTATTTCGCTTTCAAAGGAATCGCCCTTGAAAAAAAGAGAATTTTTTATAAAATTTCGCAGAATAATTGCATATATTTTTTAAATATCTTGCATCAATATGGAAAAAAATATCCTTAAATTTATTTTCAATCTCCAAACCACTTCTAGTGAAGGAGAGATAACTGTTTTCAAATCACTAATAATCTAGTTAAATCAGGATGAATCTCTACAAATCAAGAGAAACCTCCAAAAATGAAGATAAATCGCCTGTAGATCAAGGCAAATTCATTTAAAAATTGTTAAATTTTTGCCACAAAATACAACAAAGTCCCAAGATAAAACATGAGATACTACGACTGCTGGAATTGTCTTTTTGACCTGAAAATGGGTCTTAAATTTATTTTATTTATTTATTTATTTATTTATTTATTTACAAATTCAATACACTACAGAATCAAATATTGTAAATGGTACAAAGATAAAAAACAAAAACAAAGATTCACAACCAACAAAGGACATAACGAAGTGGCATAGTCAACCACTCCCTACAGGAAAGGCAAATTACAAATCTCTCAACATCCTCGTAACAGATACCAAACTAACACAGAAAAGATCACAATCGTAAAAATACCTACTATAATTATAAACTAGACGATCTACAAACCGTGCGTTCGTTATTTTGGTCTGAGTTCTCCGAGCTTGACTTTACCGTTCGTTTATTTAAAAAGTGTACTCGGTGCAACCTCATTCGCGTTCGTTTATTAAAATTTCCGGTACTTTTATACAGCTTTCAACTGCTCCGTTCGCTCGCTGGTCACGTGATTACGGCTCCGCTCAGCTCGCTCTACACTTTGAGCAAAATACCGAACGCAAGGTAAAGCATTAAGACCATAGTTAGTTCTGTGATAATGCTCATAAAATTACTGCACTTGTCTTTACGTCTTATTGAAATTTAAAATGTGATCAAGTTTAGAAGATGAGTGCAGGCAATTACTCCATTGAGAAGTTTGTAGAGAAACAACAAATAAGCATTTCTTCGACGACACTCAAGGCTTTTGACACCACAAAGTAAAAGTCTAGTGTCATAAGGAACATTACTATAAGGAAAGTGAAGTTTATACAAAAGGTATTTAAAAAATTTACTTTGAACTCTTTCTAGTCTTCGTACATGACAAGCGTAACGAGGTGACCAGATCACAGAAGTACAAACAAGTAGTGATTGCTTTTATATCTCTAATGTGCTTAGAATTTCTTTTAATGAAGCCCAGCATCCTAAAACCATTCAGAACAATGCTATCAATATGCAAATTAAACGTTAGGTTTAGATAGATTTACATTTAGAGATATTAATTGACAGGAAATTAGATTCGCACCATACAACAAATCTGTCAAGATCAGACTGCAAGCCATCGAGACCAGGGCCAACCGAGCTAGAGTTTGAGGTCGTCGGCGTATGAGAGACATTAGGATGTTTTAAAACACAATAGAACATCATTTATAAATAATGAAAAGAGCACAGGACCGATATACGAACCCTGGGGGGACGCCAGATGTCACAACTACGTCACAAGATACAGAACCACAAACAGTAACAAGCTGACGACGCTGAAATAGGTAGGATTTAATCAGTTCAATATAATATGAGATACACCGATCTCAGACAATAGAGAACTTGCAAGTGAAATAAAATTTACAAAAACAGTCTTTTACAATATTCTTCATCCATTGAGTGGTTGATTATTGTACTGCATTATGCTGGGCAGACCAGAAACACCTGTTAGGCTCTTCACGTATGACCAAAAATGTTTGATGTTTTCAGGAATAAGATCTTCCGCTTTAGAAATAAACGCTAAATAACACAATTCAGTCCGGAAACTGACTTCCCGCCTTTATGTTTGAATAGGCCTCATAATCACTCTGCAAGCAAGATCTCTTAAATTTTTTGTGCAATGTTTTTTTTTTGGCAATAAGTTTACGCAGATTTTTGTCAAACCAAGAGGGATACTTCTGACCTATAACAGTCCTGTTTGAGACATAGACATCTATACCATCGAGTAGGATATCATAAAATTTCTCGACGGCCAAATCGACGTCCAAAGTCAGTTGAACAATAAAAATTATTTAATTCCGTAAAATTGGCACGGTCGAAAACATAGAATGTGGAGGTACTAATATTCTCTAATTTGGGAGTATAGTGAATGTCGAAGTAGCATTCGATAATCGGGTGGAAAGTGTCGATCTTTAATAGTGGAGCTGAGCACAACAAAACAGTAGACTTCGCAAATTCATCAGCGAAGATCAAATCCAAAATTCGATTATGGCAGGTCTTGTGCGGATTGATCTGCTGAAGTTCCAAAAAAAAACATGGAATCCAAAACTGCTTCAGCACAAGTGGAATTCAGCTCTGAATGGATTAATGTATCATCCTCTACTGACCACTGGATATTGGGAAGGTTAAACTCACCACACAGAATGAATTTATGATTACCATATTCATTTTTCAGAGATTCGCAAGTATAACAGAACGATTGATAACATTCAACAGATGAATTAGGTGGAATATAAATGCAACAAATGATGACCTTAATATGATCAAAGAGCAGCCGAACCCATACATCTTCGTAGGCCAGGTTAACAGGGGAATCCAGAACACTTGCTAGGATATTATTGGAGAAGCAATCAAAACTCCACCAAAATGCTGACAATTTAGTTCACCATAATTATGGTCCCTCTGAAAGACACTGAAACGTAGATCAAATATTTCAGAGTTCAAAATGCCATTATTGAGCCAGGTTTCTGACAAACATACGATATCATACTCTAATGAGTGAGTGTTGACCAAGAGCTCACTTGATTTCGTTCTAAGACCTCTTACATTCTGATAATAGACGGCAAATTTTCTGGAGTCGACGTTATTCAAAAATTTAGACTATTACTAACACCACTCCCAATACATTCATTATTAGGAAGGACCAAGGAGTCATCGGAATTGATTGCGACCACAAATAACTTGGAGATTATGTGTTCTAGGTGCTTCTTCTTGGCAATGTGGGAAGGGTTGCCATAGTAGTTCAGCTCGCGTCATCGGAAAATTCATTAAAGTTGAGAAACCTTGCAGGAGAGCCCTTCTTGTTATGCAGAACCTTCTTGAAGACCATATCCGATTCGTACGTAAAGTTGTTGAGAATGGGCCTGGAGGCAGCATAGGGAAGTCCAACGATGATTAGGTTAGTGTGAGAAAATCAATCAAGTATATGGCAACTAAGTTCTCGCTGATCGTTTTACCCATAAAAGCGTCAGCATTACCGCAGAAGAGGATGACATAATCGCTTCTGATGGAACAACGACTTAGATCAAAGTACTTCTCAAAAATATCCTCAAGAAGAAGCCGCCTCCCAAACTCACAGTTAATATCAAATCGGATGGTAGACTGCTTCCTGATAAATGAAGAGGAGCCAATCACACTAGACTTATTTCCAACCACTGATAGTTGAGGAAGTTCTCGAGTTTTATTTATATTGAGACGAGCGTTTAAATTTTGTTTATTTTTTGAGTCTCTGGGAGGACTAGTTTGTGAGGCATGACCACAGAGAGAAAATTCCGCAGCTAAGCTGAGTTCACTAAATCGGGACACAGTTTAAGAGCTCTTATCCAGAAGAGTGACGACCCTATCAGTCCGATGGTTGCTCGTTCCCCCTGTAGGTGTGTCACCCGGATTAGGATCCACAGAAAGTGCAATGGCGGGAGTAACAGTCCCCTCCTCATGAACATTCTGTTCAAAATTTTCAGCATTATTTTCAAGAGTTGTAGCTGATTCTTTTATGTTTTTATTCATTAAAATGAGATTTTCGATTTTCTGGTAAAGCTTTGCTATGTCTTCTCTATATCTAGCTATATCCTCGCCATATGCTTGACGTTCAGTCTTCCTTTTGATATCTATATCCTTAATTTTTTCCCCCAGGCTTTTTATGGTGGCTTCCAAATCTGTACTTATGTGTGTTTTTTCGGTTTGCCGCAAAAGCTCCATATTTTTATTCTCAAGCAAAATTTTCTGGTTTTTAAGTTCTGCCAGTTCCCGCAAATAGCCACCTTGACCTCGACTTGGACTTTCCCTTAGTCCTTATGTCTTCATCTCTTTTTGATATCTCTTGATGGAGCTGGAATTTAAGTTGTATGGATGATTTGTTTTCTTCAATTAGCTGATTCCTCGTGTCATCATTTGAAGCCTTGAATTGTTTGTTCAGCTTTGTCAAGTTTTCGTTTGATCCCTCACATTCCTTCTGTCTTTTTTGGATTTCTTCGTCGATCTTGAACTGCATTAGGTAGTTCAATTCTTTTTTGCTTTTCGGCTAGGTCTTGTTTGTATTTTACTTCGGCTTCCTCAACGTCCTGTTCAAATGCGACCGAGCATCGTTTTTTTCCTTTCCAGGGCTGAATATGTTTGATGTAACTCTTTATGAAGATCAGATATGATCACCCTCAAGTCCTGGACAAGTTCAATTTCTTCTGTGTTCAGGTCATCCAGCGCAGAGTCCTCACATTTTTTACTGCAGTATATTTTGCGGTCTTTCACAACAGTATAGGTTTTCCTTTCAACGCAGCTTTTATGCCGTATTGTTTCACATGTGAGGCAGTAGTAATATTTCAAGTCCTTATTGTTGCAGCCACCAAAATTCCCTATTTTCCCCATTTTGCAAAATCAATATTCAATCGACAGAATTTTATTGCTTGCATTTATATTCACAGTAGGAGCAATAAATAATTGGAATTCCAACAATTGGTAGGCACCACAAAAAAAAAAAAACATCAGACATAGAAATATGTAGGTATAGTTTTTGCACAAAAACGGTATTGTTTGGTAATAGATGTTAATTAATTTCACTAGAGTCTTTATTGAAAGTAACACTGGTTTTATCACTCACAGAAAATCCACATTTTTTTGTTAACTTTATCCACTAGAAATTTACTATTTTCGAGAAGCGATCGAAACATATGTCGTTACTCGGTCAAATATCGGTCAAATATTTTCGAAAATCCCGCCGACTTCCTATTTTACTTGCCTCATAGAGGCATTCATCAAAAATCTCATATCTGTTTTCAATTGGAAGGGACTTTAATGATCCTGGAAATTTAAAGTCATGATTAGGGTTGTGCCGTTTGAAATTTTCAAATGAAAGGACCACGCACGAATCTTATGAGAAAAAATAAATTTCACGATTGTCATGAAATTGAAATATGTTATGCTTCTCGACCTCCTGAATGTAAGTTCTCGTAGGCCCAAAAAGATCCTATGATTAGTTTCGGAGATACAGGGTCTGGTTAACATACAGTCATGAGCACAAAAAGTGGGACACCCGTTTTTTCTCATTGTACAACAGGCTCACCAGCTATACCTAGGGCAATGACAGGGATTGTCATATTTAACAAAAAAATCATTGTAGAGAAAAGACTGATTTAACCAAAATAGCGAAAAATGACAAGACCTGTCAGTTGGGTGTCATTCTAGGTTAAAAACGGGTGGAAAAATGCCAAAGCGATGTCGTCTAAATGCTTTGAAGGTTAAAAACTTGTCGAAAAATGCCAAAAATATGTCATTTTTGGTTATGAATAAAATGAATGTACCAGCAGATTCTGGAGATTTTTCTTGTACTACTTTTTTTTATCGGTCCTGTATCTATGAAACTAATCATAGGATCTTTTTCGGCCTACGAGAACTTATGTTCAGGAAGTCGAGAGGCATAACATATTTCAATTTCATGACAATCGTGAAATTTATTTTTTCTCATTCCGTTCATGGTCCTTTCCATGTTTGAAATATTCAAATGTGAAATTTTCCATATTCGAAAAAAAAGAAATTTTACAGAAATTACATGTGAAATTTTCAATTTGATATTTCCCAAACTTTGTAGAAAATTTCATATGTTACACTGGAAGTTTCATAAATTTCATTGAAATTTTCAAAAAATTTACATGTTTAGCCGGGAACCCTAAACTTATGATAAATACGGTTGAACCAATAAACAATATTTGGAGCTACTTCACTCAACTGACTACGAAATAAATAACAGAAAGGTAGAATGTGTTTTTTCTACGAGCGTGCGGGAAATGGCTCTTTCCGGACTATTTGCTGTGAAGGCAGTCTTTCTTTTGCACCAGTTCGTGAAGAGTTTTCTTCCTGCACTGGTGTGGGAGGAGTTTGAAATAATCCCTTTGACGCCGTCGACATCGAATTTTTTGTATTGTTGATACACCTTTACCTTGACCTTTTTTTATAAATACTGTTCAATACATTTATAAATTTACCTTCTATGCATTTTATTTAAATTACATTTTCCGTAACATCACCTTTACGCTTGTAGAAAAAAATATAGTTTCCGCGGGCGCTTCGCACACTTGTGCTGGAAATTTCTCTTCCCGCACTTGTTTGGAAAATAGCTATTGTTTATTTACATTCGACACTTTAGCCAGAATAAAATGTCTGGAGAATGTCCAACCATTGTACTTATTACTTATTTATTTTTGTACCTACCCTACCACTGCCTCATAAACACAATACTAATACACAAAGTCAGGTAGTCATGTCATCACAATAGAATTGTATTGATTATACAACTCACTGTACATTATCCTCATATGACACGAGAGGCTTAAAAAGTGATAAGCCTTTTGGGATTATCGCGCTTGGTGGCAATATTGTTCATTTGCTATTAATAATAATGAAAATTAATAAGGTATTGAAGTTTACTTCGTTGTATAACCTTTTGAATACCACTCGATGTTTCAGGATTACCTAATACTTTTACCTGACACTCAACGCGTTATCAGCCAACACCACTCCTCCTTCGGAGTCGTGGTGTTGCTGCGTAACGCGTTTCGTGACAGGTAAAAGTATTATCCGGTAATCCTGAAACCTCTTGTGGTATTACATTCGAAAATTTCATCGCATTTTATGAAGTTTCACTGAAAAATTCATAGTGAAACATTGGATTTTGGAAATTTCATGATATTTTGGAAATTTTTTGAAAAATTCAGAAATTTTGAAAATTTCACGGAAATTTCAAAAATCTCAATATTTACATGAAAATTTCAGAGTGAAATTTCTAGATGAAATGAAAACAGAAATTTACCCAACCCTAGTCATGATGAGGGCTGGTTGTATTTTTCACAGAGGATTTTACAGGATTTTTTTCAATTTACTTTTTTTTTGTCTGACCTTATAGATACCTATAAAAACATACTTCAGCTTTCTATCTATAATAGAAAAAAAGTTATGGTTTTGCAAAGTTTTCAAAAATCCAAATTATATAGCTCCCTTACGATTGATACTTAGTATGCACTAAAATGATTAAGATTAAATTTTTTTTATGTTGAGACTTTGGGTCTAAATGATCATCTGGGACCCCTCAAACTTCATACACTAAATTGTTCTGAGATTTGAAGCAGAAACCTATGAAAAAAGGAACTCAGAAAAATTCCTAAAATTACCCCAAATTGCTTAACACGATTTTATTTCTGAAACTATAAGTCCAACAAATGAGCTGAAATTTTCAGAGATTGTAGTCCTCTATTGGGATAAGCGAGGGGATAAGAATTGAAATTTTCAGCTTTCTATCTATGTATAATAGAAAAAAAGTTATGATTTTTCAAAGTTTGCAAAAATTCAAATAAATTGCTTAACACAATTTTCTTTCTGAAACTATAAGTCCAAATGAGCTGAAATTTTCAGAGATTGTAGTCCTCTACTGGGATAAGAATCATGGAAATTTTCAGTTTTCCATCTGATACATTATTGAAAAAGTTCTGAAGTGAACCTACCCAAATTTAACCAATGCTGAAGGTGTTATAGATAGAGCTCCATATATCAACTCAATGATACTTGTTCGATTTACACAGCATACTTCAATGCCAAATTCAAAAATAAATTGCTAGAAGTTTTCAGCTTTTCAGGATTCAAAATACTACTTGATTGAATTGAAACTAAAATTGTAAATATTGTATTATTCCCTCGATTATTCCATTTGTGAGCCTCATGAATCTGAGGCTCTCTGGTTTGTATATTCTCTATTTTTCAAAATTTCAAGAAGCTTGAAAGGAAACAAAAATTCAGCCAGAAATAGAAAAAGAATGAGATTGACTCGGAGATTGAGAATAAAAAATAAGGCAAATTGAGATGCAATGCAATTCAATGGTAGATTATTATTATTTTGAAAAAACCACACAAGATATTCATGTAAAAACAATATTCTTAATAGCAGGTAGCAGGTGGATCAAGAAGAAAGATTATCAAGTAGTGTATTGATAGAATAAACAGTAAAGAATATCTTGTAGCAATTTTATCATTATTATTATTAATGAAAAATAAAAAATTACCTGTATCGACAATTCATCTATGGAGGTGTTTAGCCAATGTTGCATCTCTTCTCTCTCCTTCTGTACAGGGTCTAATTTTTGGGCTGCTCCTAAACCTTCTTTCGAGTATGCTTTTGTTTTTGTTTCTCTCTCTACCACTTTGAACCTTTCCATTTGCTGGAACAAAACGTATGAATTTTTTTAAGACTCACACATTATTTTGCCTACTGTTTCAATAAGTTTTCTATTGTCCATTAGAATACTCTTGTCCTTGATTTCTCCGGACGCTATCCAACTTTTGATCTGATCTCGAAGTCTCTGCAACTTCTTGATTTCCTTTTTGAGGTCGGCCTCGTACTTTTCCTTTTGGTTGGTGTTGGCTGCATTGTGAACCTTTTGCCAAATGTCTTCGAACGTTTCGACACCTTCTGTTACTTTTTTTAAACAGCGATCTATTTCCCCTTAAAAGAAAACAATAATAATTAATCAACTATATAAACACGTAAATAAGTATTTAAAATAATTGGAATTTAAATTCAAAATAAGATAAGGCAAGTGTAAATAATATTTAAAAAAGAAAGTTTTTAAAAAAAGCAATTTTGGTTTGTTCCAAATCAGGTCAAAGGTAGGTGTTTACAACTTACATGAGGCTAAATGCTTGCTGAATCTTTTTTTTAATAAAAATATGTGTTTTTTTCTCAATAAAACTAAAAAAACTTAAGGTTCAATGTGGTACCATTGTTTACATCAAACCAAGTAAACAAGTTTCTTCTTGCCAAAATGAAGACAAGGCCACCCTATGGTAAACTTCATGGATTCGTTTATTATTGGCCAACGAAAGTTTGATCCAGTTCTGATGAAAACTCGCCAAAACGAGTTCAAAACAACAAAGACCAATCTTTTTTACCTTGTAATTTTCTAGTAGCCGCCATTTCTATCACATCAAAAGCATCCTAAACGGTACCGCTACATCAAATTAAACACGAATCACGTTTAGAATGTTATAGAGCGTCAGATAAACGCTCAAATTGATGGTTTTCGGAGGGTAGTTTCAGCTGAAGATTAGAATTTTCTGCAAAAAAATACAAAATATTTCTGTGCCTTTTTGCTATTACTGCTACTATCCAATTCAAGAAACGTCAATATCCACGGCTACCAATAGGTGAAAAAAAAACATTTTGGCAGGAGGAAAATAATTGAGGTTAGATTCTTATCTTTGTGTGTGCAGGGACGTACTTTAGCATAAAGGTGAATTTCCAAATCGCGATTTCGATTTCAGATTTGAGAAGTACAGTCATGAGCACAAAAAGTGGGACATCCGACTGACAGGTCTTGTCGTTTCCTTGGTTCATTGCTCTCTACAATCGATTTTTTGTCAAATATGACAATCCCTGTCATTGCCGTAGGTATAGCTGCTGAGCCCGTTTTACAATAGGAAAAAACGGGTGTCCCACTTTTTGTGCTCACGACTGTATTACATACCTATAGAAATACTTTGTTCACGGAACACATCCCGAACCAGTTTGGAACCAGGGATGTGCGTCTATAGGTTTTTTACGTTATATTTAGGATGACGTCATAGAACAAAAAGAGACAATGTTGTCAATGCCTATTTTTTTTCTTATAATTTATCAGAATGTCACGTGACAGTAGACCTATCTATTTTACCAACCAAAGAGGTAATAATACGAAAACTTCATTAGATAAAAAAAGACACAGAACGCTCATTGATGCACAAGACGAGGCAAAACGTACTAAATTATGTGAGACTTACGTATGGCAATCCATCCTCCTTATTTGCACGGGACAAAAAGAGAAGAAGAAAAACCGCGTGTTTTGCAACGTATTTATCAATGAAAATTTCAAAATACTTTTGAGTGTCACTTGTCAAGCTATGTCAAGTTGAATATCAACCGTACTTTTATTTTTGTCAGACCACGAGCAATGAAATGTAAGGAGATGTCCAGCGTTCAAAACGAAGACTTCACACCTGTACTAGTTAGCTAATAAAAAGACTTGCCTCATGTTGCGCGCGCATACCAGGTAAAAATAGTCTTTTCTGTCAAACGAAACGGAAAATAGGTAATCTACTTACATGCCTCACAGCAGTAAGAAGCAAAATTGGTCGCGTTCCTGCTGGAAATACGTTATTATGTATACTACCTTTTCCTGAGGCCGATTCCGACAAACCTGCTGGCATTTTCTGAGTAAGTTTACGCTACGAAGAAGTACTGAATTCTTGAAAGAACTTTTTTCTAACTGTAACGTATTTTTGGCACTTAATTAGAATTAGACAAAATAGTTAATAATAATTTTCAAGACGACTGGGCTGGAACTCTGTAACAGATTAGAGATATTTTCTCTATCTCTATTGACGTCTCCTCTCTATTGATTTCGACAAGAAAGAAGAAGACAACAAGTGCCATAGCGATAGAGATAACGATCCTTATCCGTTACAGAGTTCCAGCCCTGACAGCTTAAAATAACGAAATGAATCGACACGCATTATTTGAAAATGTTTAAAAAAATCGATATAAATCATGCAACGTCGCGCGCCGTTGCCAACCAAAAACATCTGAAATTGCCCTACTTTAAATGCGTTGAAAAGTACTTTTAGTTTTGTTAGGTTGGCAGCAGAAATTTACTAAATGTGACGTCATCCTAAATATAACGTAAAAAGCCTATACACGTAGACATTAGACAGATTTTGAGCCACATAAATTTTGAAATACCTTACACGCTAAACGGTAAACTGAGCAAGCGCAGTCTTTGAAAAATAGCGGATGACATTTACCCTTTTTTAGTTTTTGAAGCCAAAACTTGTGAAGAACGTTATACGCTAAAGGTTAATGAAAATTTGTGGTTAGGATTTTGATTCTGTATAACTTGCCTCAAATTTTTTTTTTGTCTGATGTTTATGTTAGGATTGTTAGGTATGGTATTTGTTTGTGTTTTTTTTGTATAATTGTGTACTACACTTCATGGATAACATGAAAATATAATAGGACGTCGAAATGCTGTAAAGATGTTAAAACGTTATCGGCTAATAACGTTCCGTTTATTTCCACATAATTAGCGTAGTACGTTACCGCTTATTAAGCGGACCGGTTATTTTTTCACTATTGCGCATGAGCAAAATAACCGATAACGTATAACGTTGATCAAATAGGTGGCTCAAAATCTCTCTATTCATTGTCTACTTTACGTGTAGACAATAATCCTTTTCACGTGGCTCCGGTTTAGCAAACCGCAACATACCGCTCGAATTCGAGTGGCATCGAAGATGTCACTTTGTAACGTTAGAAAACGGTATGTCATTTCTCTAACCGCCTCGGCGATATGGTTACGTCGAGCGGTTAGAAGAAAAAAATAAAAACAACGGAGAGCGGGAACGTTCCGAAAAGTGTAAAAAGTAAATAAAAAGTTGTGTTTCGTACCTATATAATATTATATTTTATGAATTTGAAGCCCGAAAGCCGTTTTTCTTTGTATATAGCCTGATTTACGAGGCCCGTGCATTAGAAATTGTTTAGTTTGCAGGTGGATTAGCATAAATAAATACCACCTAGGGCCGGTTTCTCCCTAGCGGGCACATAATAGCGGGTCACCTCTGGGTTGGTTTTATTTTCTCCAGAGTAAGCGTGTGCAGTTGCAGTTGCAATGTTTACCCTGGAGTTAATGCTTAACCAGGGGGTGCCTTGCTATAATCTTTGCTATTGGGAAACCGGCCCTAATCTACCTGCTGATGCACGGACTACGTAAATCACCCTGTATTATACTCAAAATATGTACCAGAGACGAAACAATCCCAGTTTACCTACTCGATAGGATAGGCTGTTGTAGACTGTAGGTAACGAGAACTTATAAACTTTAGATAAACTGGTTCTAGTAGTCTATCCACCCATGGTCCCAGGGGCGGATGGGCTCAGGCGGGACACCGGGACGATTCCCGGTGGGCCGGAGAGCCAAGTGGGCCGCCGGTTAAGGGGGAAAAAAAATACGGTAACAAACAATACGCCGCAACTTGATCGAAAAAAAATCACTTAAGGCGTAATGCGACAACACTCTGCCAATTCAAGAGAAAGCAGTCAACGTTTTTTGTCGTTTTCACAAGGCGTTGAGCTGCCATCTAATATTGGAAAATATTTTCATTAAAATTTAGACTTTTTCTGTAAATTTGCCCTTTTTCTATAAATTTATACTTTCTCTGTAAACTTACACTTTTTCTGTTCAATCAGACATTACTGAGGACACTACCAAACTTACCTATAATAACCCGCTAAGTTCGAAATTTTTGTCAGACATAATTAAAGTTACCAATAATAACCCGGTTAGTTTTTGTTAGTTTGCAATTGTAATCAGATATTACCGATAATAACCCGGTTAGTTTGCAATTTCAATAAGATATTTCCAAATCTACTAATGTAGACTAATGTCCATTTGCAGGGGTACCACTTAACTACCGCTTAAAGGATATTGAATCTACGTGGAGCTTTGAATGTGATTTTTGTTTCTACAAGAGTCACATTCAAAGCTTCACTTGGATTAAATATCCCTTAAGTTGTAGCGGTGCAAATGGCCGTAATAGACCTATCTATTTTTTACCTGATATGCGCGCGCAACACGAGGCAATGTCTTTTTATTGGCTAGCTAATACAGGTGTGAGGGGATCGTTTTGCACACTGGGCATTTCTTTATCCTTGTTCATTGCATGTGGTCTGACAAGAATAAATCTAAACTTGATATTCAACTTGACAGGTGTCATTCAAAAGTTGTTTGACATTTTCATTGACAAAAACGTTGCACAACACGCGGTTTTTCTTCTTTCCTTTTTATCCTGTGCAAATAATAAGGACGGATTGCTATACGTAAGTCTACTATAATTTGGTACGTTTCGCCTCGTCTTGCGCAATGAGCGTTCTGTGTCTTTTTTTATTTAATGAAGTTTTCGTATTATTACCTCTTTGTCTGGTAAAATAGATAGGTCTATTCACGATAGAATTTGAATTTTGACCGTTATTTTCACCAGTTGAAAATAAATAAAACCCCCACATCTGTCCCTTTTTTTGTCAACCATCAAATAATGATACATGACATTTCGATTTGACATGTAAAAATATCAGATTCGGATCTTTGAATTTTGAATTTCGAATTTTTCTGTGAAATCCTTTCAGTTTTTTGCCGTTTTCTGCATTATTTTTAGTTATTTTGACAATAGGTGTTTTGGTTTTTTATGTAGTGTTCTGTGCCTTTGAGTTTCGGTGTTGCGTTTCAAACCTGGGGGTGGATTACGAACTCTCGATTCGAACCGAAACCGCCATGGATTTCGAACGCCCTCCATGCAAATGCATCAGAATGCGTTCGAAATCCATGGCGGTTTCGGTTCGAATCGAGAGTTCGTAATCCGCCCCCTGGTTTTAGTTTGGATTTAACTGTTCACTTTGTCAATAACTCTTTACTGTGGACTCTTTTAACACTTTTATCTGGTTTATTTTAACGTCATTAGTTAAGTAAACCTAATAATCACGCAATATTATACGATTTTAAGTGCCGATTTTGGCATTAGCGATGGCACAAAAGTCCTTGAAACTATTATAAAGTATTACGTTTGTTCTATTACAGATGCTTATAATTACCATGCAGGATTTTAATAACCTAACTTCCTTAAAAGAAAGACCCTGTCGTTTATCCCACCTGACGGAATCGAAGCGCTAACGCATGACCGCGTGTGGCTAAATTCAGCTGGTGTAGGCACCGCGGTAGAATGGTAGAACAAGCAGTGTTGTTAAATTTACCAGGATTTGACAAACTGTGGTTGGCATTGACATTAGTGAATTTTATTCACCGCATCCGTGGCGGTGCACCATTTTGGTGAATTTAGCAACACGCGGGATGGCAACCTAAAGAAAAAGTTACTAAAAAATGTCAACGCGAACTGTCAACTTCAGTTTCTATCGCGATTACAACTATACCATTGAACTATACTAACCCGGTTAGTTTGGGTTAGTTTGCAATTGTAATCAAACATTAAAACTTAGGTACTGATAATAATCCGGGTTAGTTTGCACTTTCAATCAGAAATCACCAAACTTACCGATAATAACCCAGTTAGTTTGGGTAAGTTTGCAATTTCAATCGAACATAACCATTTTGTTTTCAAAATTTGTGTTACTTTGAAATCTATTGTAATCAAACATTACCAAAACTCAAACCTACCGAGAATAACCCGGTTAGTTTGGGTTAGTTTTCAATTTTAATCAGACATTTTTAAACTTACCGATGTTCCTGGTTAGTTTGCGGTTTAGTTTGCTATTTCAATCAGACATTACCAATAATCCGGTTAGTTTGGACATGCTTCAAAATTATTCATTTTCGAAAGAAGTTATTCAAAGTCAATATGTTTCAAATGGTTGATTTTTGAGAAAGCATTCGGAAAAAAAAAAATCGCAATTTTTGTTTTCGAAAAATAAACATAGACCTGTAGTGTCTGAATAAAATTGCGAACTAACCCAAATTGCGGTACTTAAATTTGGTAATGTCTGATTAAACAGAAAAAGTGTAAACTAGAACATGACAATATTTTACAATACCTATCAGCATGGCTCTACGCTTTCGTATTTTTGATGAGTAATATAAGGAGGTTTTTTTTTTCTAAAAAAGGAGACTATTTAATACCCTATTCAGTGTTATTCACCTCCTGTGAGCGCGCGGGGCCGCTTGAGCAAAAACTGTCCCGGGCCGATTCAAAGTTGCCCATCCGCCCCTGCATGGTCCACATCTAAAGCATTGAACGAAAAGAAATTAAACTACCTACTTTTCACTTTTTAGCTTGCTGTAATAAAAAAAAATGAAATACTCGATAATTCCACAATTTTGAAAAAAAAACTTGCTTCCCATATTTCTTCACATTTAAGATAGTTTTGTCCATAGTAGACATAATAGGTAGGTCAGGGGTCAGAAGTAACGGCACTGACCAACCCAACCTCATATCGAATTTAAAATAACATTTTTCTAACCATTCGTTTTCAAGTGGCATTTTCAATAATGTCATCACTTGACATACCGCCTCTAACCGTTTTGTAACTTAGTTTACCTACGAGCGTGCGGTAAAGTGCACTTTACCGCACGTATTTGCAAATGGAAAGTATCACTTTACCGCACACTATGCGGTAAAGTGCACTTTACCGCATAGTGTGCGGTAAAGTTA